CTTTAATTGATGCTACTATTTAGTTTTTACATTGAAGTATTGAACATTTGCTTACAATTACATATGTTGTCTATGCAATCTTTATTTATTTATTTATTTTAAATTTCGCTTCACTTCAAAAAAGCGAGCGCTTCGCTTCTCGCTTTAAGCGAAATGGGGTTTGTCGCTTTTTCTCGCTTCACGCTCTTCACAACACTGGACACATCATAAAGTATTCAATATACCATTTCCAAATTTCAAAAGTTTCATATTTAGTAAACTCAATTTTAATGATGTTATGATACCATTGTATCCAACTTTGCACCAAAGCTCTAGTTTGAGTATAATTACCAAAAAGAAATGCCTGCACAAACTCCATGATGGCATGATCTTCTACCTAGTCAAATATTTTCAGAAGCCATGGATCTCTGAAACTGGTATGAGAATGTTTTCTTATACGGAGAGAGTTTTTTTGGTGATTAGATGGGTTTGAGATTGAATGTGACAGGAACATACGTACAAGTGGTATTTTATTAACTGCATCTCCTTTACTAGAGTTAAGGTACTTCTACTAAAGTGCCGCTTTGCAGCCACCAGAATTATTATAACTTTTCGACTCAGCATCCGAGAATTTAAAATTTCTTGAATCTGTTCAAGTTGAATATTGCTAGAAATCTCTCCTTGATCTTACTAAATCCTACACTTAAAGCAGCAAATAGAAGCAAAACCTATAATGTGGACTAGGGACATAAGTATAGATTTTAGGCTGGGTATTTCGTTGGTTCTCAATGATCTACCGTCCATATATTTAGAAGCAAGGGTCCATATTAGAATATTGAGCATATCGATAAGTTTCCAAACACACTCATTGACATATTAACTCCTACTATTAAAAATGGATATTTTCTAGCATTCTTCTAAGAGGGTCAATGTCATTACTGAAAACAGAAGATCAAGAATTATCAACATCCATTTCCCTCTTCCCAAATCCCCCAGAAAAAGGAAAGGTGAATGGGACATACGAACAAATAAACTTATAAAACCAATTTCAAAGACTTCCCAAATTCCTCATAATCTCAACATGACAAATTGGATACAAACTAAACTTGAGTTTTTCAAATGCTTCAAGTAGTCTTTCCCACCATAGAAATACACAATCCTCGTCCTAAAACATTTACTAATTTTCCCTGTTAGTAGTTGAACAGACTTTAACATAAATACAAGCACATTTGGAAATTATAAAATCATCTATTAATCTATAATATACTCCTGTACTGAAATATTTGTCGTACTTTCCTTTCTGAGCTGTACCACAATGTTGTCCATTTACAATGAGAAGTATAACTACATTTTAAATAACACAAAAAGTTCTCCATCCCACTTTTCTCTTCTTAACAAAACTTTATCATCTATTCTACTATTCTGTGACACAAAAGTAAAAATATTACGCATGTTTCTCGACAAATACTGAACAGTTTACAAATCATCTTACATGTACAACTGAATTGGTAAAGACTGAATAGTAAATCATACTTTGCTATTTTGCCATTTAATCATATAAAATCACAATTTCTCATAACAGCATTTTTGAAAGGCCAAATTGACTATGAAAGTCAGTAAAGGGGAATATTCATTAAAAAATAAAAAGGAGTTCATATGAACCTTAATTTGTGTAAATAGTTCCTTCTCTCTCCAAGCTATTATTAGACCTCTAAAATTATATCTGATAAAATAATGCATTGCACATGTAAACTTAAATTTGTCTGCAACAAGTAAAAGTAGACCTTGCATCACCAGCTAAAGATGAATTTAAGAGTCATGGGTTTATTGCTGTCCTCCACCCTTCTATATTCCATCTTCCCTGAAAATCTAGAAATCCTTACTCAGACCTAACATTGTTCTTGAACCATTGCATACCCCAAAAGAAAGCATTTGAAAACGTCTTCTGATAATCTAGCAGATATACTGAGCAAAATGCAACAGATATGGATGAAAAGAAGTTATATGATGGCCCTATCGACTACAGCATTAAGCCATCAACTAATAAAAATGCAGGATATTCCACCGCAGCTACACAACTGAATTACTTTATCTAGTAAATCACCAAAAAAAATGGAGTTGCAATACACAGGAGAAATGAAGTACCTGCCATATAGAGTACTGAGTACTTGAGTCCACATTTCTTTCCAAAAGCATTTCCTCTCTTAACAAAAGAACCTTCTTCCAAACAACGTCATTCCCATAAGACTTCCACTTAGATCTTTCCGGCAGATGACCAATGGCAGGATCACAAGGATCCTTTGCAAGTTCAGTAACCCACTTAAGCATATCCAAGTAAGACTCTCGCTTCCTCTTCCTAGTAATGTCATCTTCTTCATCCCCACTAGATTTTGTCAGCCCGATGTCATCTCCGCCACACTGAAAGTCTCTGTTTCCGTTCACAGACTTCAATTGTTCTTCATCATAACCGACGCTCATCTTTTCATCACTATACTTCCTCTTCCTAGTAATGCCATCATCCTCATCCTCACTAGACTTTGTTAGCCCGATGTCATCTGTATCACGTTGAACGTCTCCATTTCTTTTCACAAACTTGGAATCTTCTTCATCATAAACAACACTCATTCTTTCATCCATTCCCTTTACATTACAATCATTGTGGTCCAAACTTTGCTTTCCAACAAAATTCTCTGAACATCTAATCAAACCAACAAAATCCTGGACCTCAACACCATTGCTCATGTCAATATTTGCATATACCTCACCTTTCTTCTTTTCATCAGAAATTTTCATCAAAACCTCCTTCAAATCCAGCTCAAGGTCCATCCGAGCGCCACTAAAACCCGAGGCACCACTCTTCCTAACCTCACTCTTTTCATTATTATCAGGTTGCTCAAGACTCAGCATTGCTCTGTCCAATGCATCTAAATACTTAACATACACCAACTTCAAAGCCAAACCAGAACTCGAATCAAAACCACACTCTTTAGCAACAACACCCCAAGACCCACTACTACAAACCCTATGGTACCCACCTTTCTCCCTCACAACTAAGTACAGCTTGAACAAATCAACTGTCTTCCCATCACCAAGCATTGGAGGAAATGGCCTAAAACACAAACACCCATTAACCTCTTTTAACAGTTTAGTCTTAAAATCTTCAGTACTAACAAGAAGCTGCTTATCGAGTATTGTAACAATTTCAGGTATCCTGATACTTTCTAGACCTGAACCATCAACTCTCTTCGACCACCCTGCCATTTTGTAAAATCCAAAACCTATAAAAATATCACTTTTTCACACACGAACACACACAGAAAAAAACACAAAAATCATACAAGTAAATGAGGTTTAAAAGTTGTTACCATTGAACGAAATGGAAGCAAGTGGTGTACATGGGTGTCGATTGGTTTTTGCTTTAGGCGGGAAGATATTTATGACCCAAAAAAAGGGTAGACAAAATTTGGGACCCCAAGAAAAAATTTCAGGAGGAGAGCGGGATTGGGGGTGGGGGAGGGGTAGGGGTCAACGTGGGGTGGAGTGTTTTTCTAATTCTTGAATAGGAAGAGTAGAGACCCTTCTGTACAAAAATTGTATTGGATAATAATATTTGGGGGTATTGGGGGGCTGGGAAATACAGAGAGACGTACCAGTAAAATGTCTAATTGGAAGTTGAGAGGGGTGACCTCTTCTTTCTCTCTTCTTTTGACTTGTTTTCTTTTCTTGTCCCTTTGGTTTCTAACCCTCTTTTTTATTTTCTACAAAGCCTTTTGTTGTAACACTTAGATTTGTGGTAGCCTTAGATCTAAGATT